TGAGCGGCAGTGGCTGGCCTAAGGGCCGGCGCGCAACAGCACTCGACGCCGCATGGCTCCCCATGTGCTGGGGGCCCTCCCTCCGGGAGCCTACGAGGCAGGAAGCTAGCCAGCCGGAAGACCGGCGCTCCCTGCCCGTGGCTCCCTGTGCGCCGGAAGCCCTCCTTCCGGGGGCCTATGAGGCCGGGAGTGAGCCACCGGTCCGAAGACTGGCGCTCCCCGCCCGAGGCTCCCCGTGCGCTGGGGGCCCTCCCTCCAGGAGCCTATGAGGCAGGAAGCTAGCCAGCCACTTGCTGTTTTTCTGATAAGGGAATTCATTGCTATAAATTTCCCTTGTAGGACTGCTTTGTGTCCCATAAGTTTTGCTGGGCATTTTTGTTTGATTGTAGAAACTGTGTTCTTTAATTTCATCTGTGACCCCATTGGTTGTTCAGGAAGGTGCTGTTTAATTTCCATGTGTTTGTGAAGTTCTTATAGTTTCTGTTGCCATTGATTTCTAATTTCACTGCATTATGGCCTGATAATATGCACAGGACAATTTTAATTCCTCTTCATTTACCTATGCATATTGTATGAGCTAATATGTGGTCTATTTTTGGAGAACATCCCATGTCCAGCTGAGAAAAATCTGTATTCTGATATTGTGGGGTAGAACACTCTGTAGACATACTAAGTTGCTCAAAAGTTTGGTTCAGTTTTGATTCTTTTGTTGATTGTTTTTTATCTAGTTGATCTGTATATATTACAATTTTACTAGTGCTTATTTGATTTTTTACATCTGGTAATATTTGTGTTATATCATTGTGTACCCTGCTATCTAGTGCATATGTTATTTATGATTCCTATCTCTTCCTGTTGGATTGTTCCCTGTACAAAGATCTAGTGACTTTGTCTCTGTTAATCAGTCTTGGCTTGAGAAATCCAGCTTATCTGCAAATAAAGGAGCTACCCCTGCTTTTTCCCAGGTTCCTGTGCCAAGGAGCCGTTTTCCATTCTTTGACTTTCAGCCTATGAATTTCTTTTTCAATTAAATATGTTTCTTGTATGCAGCATACTGTTTGATCTTGCTTCTTGATCCATTCTACCAGGCTGTTTCTTTGGGTTGGTGAATTGTGGCCATTTATATTGATGGTTGTAACATGTATTGACTTATCCCTGTCATGTTACTTTCCTGTTGTTGGCTCCCCTTTTTAATTGCTTGCCTTGGTATATTAATTCTGTTGGGGTTCATGGAATTGTAGTCCTTGTTATCCCTTTCTAGAATGTCCTTCAGCATATTTTGGAGTGCAGATCTGGTGGTTGTGAATTTCTTCGTGTTCTTTGTGATGGAAGTGTTTTATTTCTCCATCAATTATGAACGATAGTTCTGTAAGGTACATTAATCTAGGTGGAAGGTTGTTTTAGGGCTTGTGATACCTCACTCCAAATTCTCCTTGACTCGAATGTTTGTGTTGAGTCTGCTATGATTCTGATGCGCTTTTGTTTATAAGTGATTTGTTTCTTTTCTCTAACAGCTTTTAATATTCTGTTCTTGAATCTTGACTACTATATGCCTTGGTGTAGTTCTTTTTCATCATGGCTAATTGGAGTTCTAAATGGTTCAGCAGTGATAGCTTAACCAGTCATGATTTAATACTGTGAATTATTAAAAATCAGAATTATAATCAGAAGACAGCCAGTGAGTACATACATGATAGGCAAAAGGAAGAGAACTCAAAAGAGAATGCCTAAAACTGAAAAAGCAAGGACTAGCCATGGGAACATGTTAAAACTGAGACAAAGCAGCCAAGAGTTGAAAGGGACTCTCCTGAAGCAGGGAAAAATAAGGAAGAGCAGCAGGAAGGGCAGGAGAACCACTTGTTTTCATAACAAACTTTGCAGGACCATTTGTTCTCAATACATGGTAACTGATTTTTTTTTTTTTTTTTTTTCAGTCTTTTTGTGACAGGGTCTTGCTCTGCAGTTCAAGCTGGTCTCAAACTCACAGCGATCCTCCTGCCTCAGCCTCCCAAATGCTGGGATTACAAGCATGTGTCGCCACGCCCAGCATTTCCCCCTAAAATGCAGGATATGAAACTTTTAGTCAGCAGGATGTGGTGGCACCCCTGTAATCCCAGGACTCTGCAGGCTGAGGCAGGAGGATTGCTGAGTTTGAGACCAGCGTAGGCTACATAGTGAGTTTAAGACCAGCCTAAACTACGTAGCAAGAACTTATCTCCAACAAACCCCTCAAAAACAAACCTTTTACTCAGCCTGAACTACACTGAGACTCTCAAAAAAACAAAAATAAACTGTTTACAAATCTCTTTTAGGTTTTCTTTATAGCTTATATAAATGAGAAGCCCCTTCACTTTTTTGGGTCTAGGAGGGTTACAGCCAGATTCCACTGCGTGGAGATCAGGCAAAACCGGTTACTCCTGCATGACTACAGGCTCAAAAGTCAGCCTTTCAGATCCAAGATGCAATTAATTACTATTAAGTGCTCTATCTTACTGTTTAAGGCATTATCTACTATGAAAGTAAATTAAAGTGATTATACTAAATAACTTACAGAGCTGGGTACAGTAGCATTCACCTGTAGGCCCAGCTACTCAAGCGGAGAAGTAGGAGGATCAGTTGAGCCCAAGAGTTCAAGGCTAGCTTGAGAAACATGGTGAGAGCTCATCTCAAGAAAATAAATAAAATAAAATAACATACTTCAGTCCACGGTCAAAATTTGGCCTCAGATGTACTGAATAAGAATCACTTAGGAGTACAAAGGCACTGCTTAAGATGCAGATCCTGGGGCCTGCCTTGGTACCTGTTTTTAACATGATCCCTACGTAGTAGGTGGTGAAAACCAGTGCTCACTCAGGGTATTAATGGTCAAGTGGGCTTCATTCATTTATTGACAGAAGTCAATAAATCAATGTTTGCAAATGAAGATCACCAGCAGCAAAGAAACAAAGTAATCCAAGCAGATACTACTGGGTAGCACAGCTTCTGCCTGAAAGAATTCCACTTGTAAAGACTTCAAAGAAATTCACTGTATATGTAACTCAGTGCACAAGCTTCTTTTCTTGCCAGAAATACTAACTGCAACTTAACTCTCAGCCAAATAAATACAAATTATTCAATTCCATTCATAGTAAGTTCATGTAAAATGACCACCAGCCCCAGAGCACATCCATGGAACAGCACTGCTTACAGAGGGCGCCAATCCCATGTCCCCCAAATGTGTCAAAGGAGTCAGGGGCACTTGGAGCAAGAAAAACAGGGCTGCTCTAGGGAAACAGCTTCTGAAGCCTTATTTTAAAAATGGCTGTTTTGCAGGGCGTGGTGGCGCATGCCTGTCATCCCAGCACTCAAGAGGCTGAGGCAGAAGGATGGTTGCAAGTTCAAGACCTGCCTGGGCTACAAAGTGAGCTCAAGATTAGCCTGAACTGCATAGCGAGATCCTGTCTCAAAAAAGAGACAAAAAAATAAAAAAATAAAAATGCCTGTTTTGTGGACAAAGGGTAGGAAAAACAATTCATAAGAAAGAAATCCACAGGTGAATTATATGACAAGACACTCAACCTCTCTAGAAATGCAAATTAAAACAAGGTAGTATTTTTCATCCTTTGGTTGGACAGAGTTAGGGATGATAAAGTATGCTTGAGGATGGAAGGAAGTAGGAATTCTTCACACACTGTTCGCAATGTGAATTGGGTGAACTTTCTGGAAGTTAATGTAGAGACAGCAATCACAATCGTATACACATCTGTTGTTTGACCCATCAGATCCTCTGAAGGTATCCTATCCATGTATCCACAGATCTGGGTGTGGCGACACTCATCTATAACCCCAGCACTTGGGAAGCTGAGGCAGGTATTGGGTGTTGGTTATAACAAAAGGGAAAATACCTTGCAGGTGAGCAGGGGTGCCTGTTTTACCTGATCAACTCACTGATGCTTGATCCTTAAAAGTTCTTTATACAAGACAAAGCTTGTCAGAAAGCTACTTAATGTCTGCTTAACTAATTTGTTCTATTTTCTTCTTCTTCTCTCATTATTTGAACAATCTGTTCATTGAGCAACATTTGTTTTTTTTTAGACAGGGTCTGGCTAAGTAGTCCAAGCTGGACTTGAACTCACTATTTAGCGCAGGCTAGCCTCAAACTCATGGTGATCTTCCTTCTGGGATTACAGGCATGTACCACCACGCCCTGCAAAACAGCCATTTTAAAAATAAGGCTTCAGAAACTGTTTGCCTAGAGCAGCCCTGTTTTTCTTGCTACATTTTAAGGGTCAATAACTGATCTCATATCCTCTTGAAGGTTTTTTTTTTTTGGTTTTTCTCCGGTACCAGGAACCAAACTCATGACCTTGCGCTCGCCAGGCAGGCGCTTTTGCCGCTGAGCTAAATCCCCAGCCCCCTCTTGAAGGTTTATGCTGTAGGTTATCCTTTACTGAATCCCTGGCATGATTTCAGTATTTTCATGCCTCAGGCTGTTTTCCCAATTTCTGCATTGTCACAATTTTCACTTTATGCACGTTATCCTAGTTCTCTTTTCCACATTAATAATCAATGTGCCAATTAATGCAGAGGTGCTCATATGATCACAAAACTGCTTGTACGGCCAGGATGAGCCACAGGTGTGGATAACTAGTATCCTCTGAATTACTTTTCAGTACCTTGGCTGTTTTCCCTAAAGGCAAAATCACTGCAGTTACCGTACTACACAGGGCAGAGCACTGGACTGTCTCACGGTCAGCATGAATGAGCTGTGCTGTTGCAGCTGAGCTCGTGACCTTTCCACAAAGTTTTATCTGAACAGAGTGTTCACGATGCGGCAGTGTCTGAAGGTGAATGAGACCCAGCGTGGACCTCCAGAGCTTCTCTGAGGTGCGTTTTTCTTAGAATAGCAGCTCAAACTTTACATGAATATCTGTGCTACCTCCAAGTCCTGGCATCCTCCCAAGGTGTCAAAAGTTTAACCTGCTGCCAGAGAAAACTCCAAAATGAACACACAGCCCTCATTTTCTCCAAAAAACAAAACAACCAGATTTATTTAGTTTAACATTTCCTCTGATCTAAAGAGAAAGATGTCAAAGAAAACCTAAGACACACACACAAGTGCCCACGCCCCATGAACTCAAGACATCCTAAATAAAAATCGCAGGGACAGTTCTGTTCAACAGAGAAAGTTATCTTCGCTTCTGGAAGATGTTTCCACGTCCCATTCCACGTCCTCTTCCTCGTGCAGCCACTGAAAAGGAGGGGAAAGGATGAAGATAGGTCAGCACGGTCAGCGAACGCTCATGGTACAGAGCAGTTGGAGCTCTGGGACATCACTTCAGAGGGAGCCCTAAAAGGCCACCAGGTCCAGTATTACCCTGGCCCATCACACTTCACAGTGAGGATGGAGACTGAGGAAGGACGGGCCTGGCACTGGTGCCTGGCATCAGAGCAGGGGCCACCACTGCTCTCTCAAGTGGCTGGGCAGCAGCGTGGAAAACAAAAGCTGTCTGAGAATCACGGAAAAGATGAACTCCTAAGGGTTGGCCGGGGTAGCTAATACAATATTACAAATGAATTTAATTCACTCAAAAAAACAAAATTAACTTAATTCACTTTAAAAATTTTGAAACAAATATAATTAAGCAGTAGCATCTGTTAACTGTTAATTCTGGGCAAGGGTTTTTAATCATTCTTTGAAGTTCTCTGCATGAAAAAAGTGTTTCATAACAGCATAACCAAAAAACATTTTTAAGAAAACTTTTGTTCCTGCGACCCAAAGGTTTAAGGAGAGGACAAGAGCCCCTGAAGGACAGATCAAAATATTCTGGTGGTCACTAACTGGAGCCTCACTCTTTTCAGCTGTTCCAGAGCCTGGAGCCATGCTGAAGACGGAGAGAAGTCCTGCAAGAACCCACCCACCTGCTGAAAAGATGAGGGGTTGGGAGAGGCACAAATGGCTCAAGAACTCACTGGGTCTGGGAAAACTCACTGCCACCTAGTTTTACTAAGCTCTTTTTTTTTTTTTGTTTTTTTCTGGTACCGGGAATTGAACTCACGACCTTGTGCTTGCCAGGCAGGTGCTGTGCCGCTGAGCTAAATCCCCAGCCCCGCCACCTAGTTTTTGATGCACAGCTGGAGAAAATGTTGCAAATTCACTAAGACAACGAGGGCAGCATTGACAGTGAGAGCAGCATTCGAGGCATTTTAAAGAATTATACTGCTGCATTTTTGAACTCAAAAGCTACCTCACATATAAAATATGTGGCTGAAGATACCAGTGGAGGATCTAGGGCCTTGCTATGTAGCCCGGGCTGGCCTTGAACTCATGGTAACCTCCTGCATCAGTCTTCTGAGTGCTAGGATGACAGGCATGTGCCACCATACCTGGCTTCCCTGCCCCATCTTACCCCCAACACTAGGAAAGTTTCTAAGGACTACTGCTTTCTTATCTAATAATGTGACAGAACTTCTCGGGACCCAAGTAAATAACCTGACTGGGCTAACTCTTTTATTATTTTGAGACGGGGTCTCATTATGTAGTTCAGGCTGGCCTCAAACTCACAGTTACCCTTGATTGGGCTAATTCTTAACAAGAACAGACAGGCTGGTCACTAGGGACAGGGTGGTCTCATAAAGTGTGCTGAATAAGGGATTTGTTTTCAAATACAAGAATCTTTAAAACTGTAAGTACAGCTCGTATTAGTGGGTAAAGATGGCTCAAACCTGTTTATTTATATCTGGAAAGGGATTTCCACTGTCAGCATCTCCCCAAGTACAGGCTGGGTATCAAAACACATCACGGAGTCTCCCTAGGAATGCTGCCCTGCTGCTTTAGGAGTCAGCCTATCCACATCATGGTGTGTATGTCAGCAAACTAGACAAGAGCAAGCTGCCCCAAGCATCTTGGACAAAACCTCTGGAAAAGAAGAACTTTCCAGAAATTCATTATAAATTATTAAGTATTTCATTTAAGACAGGGAGTCCAGCTATTTACAGAAGCTACTCTGAATTCTGCACAAGCCCTATGACTGGGATCAAATGAGATTAAAAAAACCAGCAAGACAAGGCCCCTGACGCCTCACAGGATCTCCCAGGACTGTGGGGAGATGGGTGACACGGTGTGCAGAGAGCTGAGGTCAAGTCTATCTCTGTCCTCAGGCAATAACAGGGCCTTTTCCTAAAAAATACAAGATAAGCCCGATTTTAAACATCAGTACAGAAGCACCTACCTTGGGCCTTCAGAATAGCAGCTTTTCCCCGGCCAGCCCCTGAGCCTTGGTTTTTATTTTTCATGCTCTTCAACATGGGTGCATTTTTCAGCATGTCAGGCAAAATCAGAAAGCGGATCTTGCTGCCACGGATGTATACCTGTTCCAGCTGTGCCACTCGGCCATCTCTGTACGTGACTGTGATGTTGGACATCTGGAAGGGAAGTATTAGTTATCAGTAAGGGTCAATAGTACCAGCAGAGGACAGGGCTGCACAAAGAGGGAACCTTAACTCGTAGGAGAGGGAAGTCTAGAAAGCAAACAGGAAAGAGTGAGGCAAAACGGGTGACTTACAACAGTGGTTGGCATTTACTATGGCACCGACGACTGTGCTAAGCACTTTATATAATTAACACCTCCAGGGTAGATGTGCACTCTCCCACTTTTTCAGATTAAACACAAGCACAAAAACAAAAACAAAACAAAAAAACGTACCAAGGCACATGTCTAAGGTCCAACAACTGGAATGTGGAGGATTCCAGATTGGAAATAGCTGGCCTGACCCACAGCCCCATCTCTGCTGGGTCAGCATGTGCAGAGTTGTTGATGGACAAACTCTAACTGAGATGGTTTCAAACTGCTTGTCCCAATTGTGTCCTTGCCTGTATCTGCCTGACAGTCAGAATGCAAAGGTACCATGAAAAGCAGCAGTGTGTGCTGGGTGCTGTTCCAACTCTCCCACAGCGTTCACTCTAGAAGGCTAATGACAAAGGACTGAGGCACAAAGACAGCAGGGCCTCCTCCCAGGGCCTGCAAGAGTTTTCACAGGGAAAAGAGAACGCACTCAGGAACACTTAAGATACAAGGACTGGGCTATCACTTCAGAGACTTAAGCGAGTCATTCAAGTTTATGTGGATGAAGGGCAGACAGGGTTAACGCTGCTCTGGCAAGGCGAATGTGGCAACACAGGCAGGACAGAGGGACTCTCTAGGTGAAGTCAGCCAGGGGGACTTGCTGGGCATGGGAAAGTGACACAAATGTGCCAGTACCAAAATCAACAGGTATCACATTTACTGTAAGAAGTAGCTTATCTGATGAATGTTCTAGGTGGAAGACAGACGGCTATATTTAAAGTGGTCAAGCCCTCCTCACAGAGATGTGCTCTCTCCCATTTCTGTCGCCAGCTCACATTCACCTGCCCTTTTCTTCAAGTGCTAACAGGCTAGGTAATCTCTGCTTGAACATCCAGAGTGAAAAAAGAGCAGCACACCTCTGGACCAGTTGTGGGAACCTTTTTAGAGCTCTCAATGATAAACAGCAGTAGCAGCACACTTGCCATGGGTTCGCCATCATGTCCCTGCTCTATCTGCATAACTGGAATGGTTTCTAGAGCTTCCTACTGTTCTTGTTCTACTTTCAGAGAGTGACAGAACTCCAGCTTGTCGTCAACATTCAGCTGCAGGCTCCACGCCCCAAGTTCCTTAAATTTTCACAGTTCCTAAGCCCTCGCCATCCTGTTCTTCCCTTGAAGAATACCATAGCCTCTGGTACCACAATGAACACAGTTATGGTTAGACTACCCAAGAGAGAATGCTGTATCCCACCCAGGACCCCCCGGTACAACACACCTATGATTCTAAGGAAGACCAAAAAACAGGTGAGGGCCTCCAAATGAGCTCCAGCTCTGCTGTCTGGGGTGTAACCCTGGGTATGTCTCCAGAGTTCTCATAGCCTCAGTCAGTTCTTTTCCCTACAAGTAAGAAAATACAGCACAACAAAACCAACACTCCCTGAGCACTAACTAGACACCAGGCACTATCCCAGGTGACTGATTTCCCATGGTTATTTTTATTTTATGAGATAGGGTCTCACTAAGTCATTATGTTGATCAGGCTGGGCTCAAACTTTTGACCTCAGCCTCCCAGAATGCTGGGATTACAGGCATGTACCATCACATCCAGCCCCACAGTAACTTATTTTATACTACAAAAGCTTACCAAAGATCCCTGCTGGAGATATGAAGTGGAACAACCTCTCAGAGGCAGATGTATCCCTGAAAGGGCCATACCCTACTCAAGGCCATCCTGCCCCTACATAGCCTGCCTGGTGTTTGAACTCAGGTCTACCAGACTGTAAGTGCACATTCTTTTTTTTTTTCCCCCCAGTACTGGGAATTGAGCTGGCAGGTGCTGTGCTGCTGAGCTATCCCCCTGGCCTAAATGCACATTCTTAACCACTGCCAACAGACCACTACTTACTTCCAAGAAGAAATGCTGTCTCAATTGCCTAACATATAACAAACACTTAGGAAATGTCAAATCTGACTGATAGTTAAAATGTCTATTTGGTGGCTGTGCTACTGCTAAACCACATCACCTACAGCACATACTGGTACATCTCATTCCTTCCCGTCATAACCCTCCTGCCTAGCGTTGAGAATCTCAGAGACTTGTCAGCGCAGGCCCAACAAGACAACCTAGGTGCTTTCACAAATGGCTCATGTCCTGGCTAAACAGGGAACCCCAGCATTACCTGACTCCTACTCCAACAGCTCACTGCTGCCCTCATGCTTGCTGTAGCACCAGAAGAGAAATACTTTGTGGCCCGACAGTCCTGCTGACGGGAGGAATACTTATTAGTACTCCTCCACAGAGTACTAATAAACCCATGCTGTGCTTCAATCATTAAGCCAAAGGCAACTTTTCAGTGGCCTACGTTTTAATAAAAGGCAGGAAAACCAGGCTTAATCAACTTTCTTAAATAACCAAAATAAAACACAGACAGCATAAGCCAGGTACCCAACTGAAATGAAAACCTAGGGCCAAGAGGGAAAAGCTAGGTCCAGGGTTGTGAAGTAATGTTGGGATACTTATTTTCACCCATGGTTCCTGGCTCATAATTCCCCATGTAAGGCAGGCCACAGAAACTTATGTTCTTTTGCATTTCTGTCCCAAGAGCTGGCTATAAAACAATTCTATGATCTACTTTGTCTGACAGATCATAAGGCCCTCATTTCAGAGAGTGTCCTTGCTTCATACACAATCAGAAGGAATGCTGCACAGAAAGACCAGGAAGAATCTGAACAGAAAGGCTTTGCTGGGTTCCCTACTCTATTAGCATTAAAAATAACCTTTTTGTCCAATCACCTTTCTACATGGCTGTCCACGCTTCAATCATGACTATACAATGAAGTTTTCCATAAAGACCAAAAAGGCTGGGTGTGGTGACACACACCTGAAATCTCAGCACTTGGGAGGCTGAGGCAGGAGGGACTGCAATGAGCTCAAGGCCAGTCTGAACTACACAGTAAGACCCTGTCTTAAAAAAAAGGCAAGATAAAACAAAACAAACAACCCAAAAGGACAGGGTTTGAAGAGTTTCCAGATGGCTGAACACGTGGAGATTCCTGGAGGGTGGTACACCCAGAAAAAGCTCCATGCCCTGCCCTATGCATTTCTTCATCTATGTCCTTTGTAATATCGTTTATCATAAGCCAACAAACCTTAGGGCACCCTGAATTCTGTGAACTGCTTGAACAAATTAGTCAAACCCACAAGGGGGAGGGGAATGTCAATCTACAGCTGGTGGGTTTCCAATAGGTGCAACAATTTGGGGCTTGCAACTGGCCTCTAAAGGAGAGGAACAGTCTTGGGGACTGAGCCGTTGCCCTTGTGGGGCCTGACAACATCTCCACATAGTGCCAGAATGGAATTAAATTAGGGGACACACAACAGGTGAACGCTGAGGAACAGATAGCTTATATGGTGTGGAAAAAAGCTGGTGTCAGAAGTTGTGGGAGTACAGGAGGAGAGACTGAGTCTGAATGTGAGTTGGTTTTTCCTTCAGAGGCCTCCTGACTGTCACATTAAAAATGTACACGTTTTTTAGGACAATTTCATACATGTACACTTACAGATACCCACTCAGCTGCCACTGATTTAATGGAATTATCAGTTCATGTCAGCTACCTATCTCTGCACTTAGGAAACATAATAAAAGTACTATAGAGGTAAGGCAGGAGGATTGCTGCAAGTCCAAGCCCAGCCTGGACTACACAGTGAGACACTGTCTCAAAAATAAATAAATAAACAACAACAACCAAAAAAAAAGGAAGGAAGAAAAAGTGTTACAAGGTAAAGGAATGTGATGAATGTAATCTACTCTAAAACAGTTCTAAAAATGTATATAGATTAAAAACTGATTTTCCTTCAATCTAAAGGTCTAGGTCTCTGAAGAAATTCAATGACACCACATTCAGAAATTTTAAAAACTTTTCTGATATTAGTTACAGGCAGTTTTTTTTTTTTTTTTAACTAAACCAATTATGGGCAAACTTTTCTTGTGTTATCACTTTTGTAAATCAGAATACTAAACTCTATCCAGACACCATTTTTTTAATAAACAGCTATGCTAAAGCTAAGAAAAGGCACAAACTTCTACAGTGGCATATGTTTAATGCATTTGCAGAAAGAATATAATATACACTTCTACTGACAGTGTAGCAAAGAACACTTGGCAGCCTTATTTTAAATTTTAGATACTCTATTAATTTGCATGTCTGATTATTATAAATTTTTTTTTTCATTGTTAGGAATTGAACCTAGGTACTCTAACACAGTTAAAGCCCCAGCCCAAGGCAATTTATCCATTTTTTCTTCTGTGAATCATCCATTTTATGACTGAGTCCACTTAAAATTGGGATAGTTAACATTCTTGACTTGTAAAAACTATCCATTAAATATAATAACCTTTATCATAAAAATTACGTGATGCCCTAAGTGTTTATAAACACTGACCACAGTTGGGTCAGTAGACTCCTGAGAATCTATAAAAGAACTTTTGGGAACCATTCACAGAATTGTAATAAAATCTACAGTCTGAGACTTGGTGTCCAACTACTGGAATATAGCAACATGAGGAAAAGGAGAAGGGAAGTGGGTCCCTGGGACCCAAGAAGGATCTGAAGAGAGAACTAAAGTCCGTGGAGAGGGCAAAGAGAAAGACTTCAATGAAGAGGTAGTGGTAGGAGGTGCTTTCTCCTTGAGCCCTGCCTCACTGTGTGGAAGAGGCAGCTTGAACCTGGAGACACAAAGGTGGCTACTGGTGACCTCAGAGGGTTCCACAGAGAAACACGTTAGTGGAATGGAGCAGTGGACTCATCAGACTGCAGAGGTTGGTGAGTTGTTCTGGTTCAGATGTCCCCCCAGGAGAGG